TTATGTCCTGATCTCAAAGAATAATATTCTTGTTGAAAACTAAATAACAGATTTAAATAGTACTTCAAAATAGCATTGGCAAAAGTCGTAAAGAAGTACATGATTAATTTGAATTTTTCAAATAGCAATTGTAGTTCAGTGGAGTAATATTGTAGCCTGACAAGCCTTTGTAAAGAAAAGAGAATTTAGTTGCAGGATGTGGGGGAAGGAGACCTATATTTAGAGTTCAAGTTCCAGTGCTTATAAACTGATCTTGAATTAGGTACTTAAAATTTGAACTTCACTTTTTACTCATTTATCTGGTATACCTCCCTGGATTGCTGTAATATTCAAGCGAATTTTATATGTGTGAGAATCACTGTGGTAACTGTAATCTAACATTTGTCTTTCGTGGTGTGTCTTGGAGATGACTTTAGCACAAATGTGGAGGTGGAAGGTGTAAGCGTTCTTCACAGTGACTTAGTTTAGAGTTGAAGATTTATGTTCGGCTTCAGAACAAGTTGTAAAAATATGTTTAGATCAGACTGTAGAAGGCTTGCATGTTAGATTTTAAAAATGTGAACTTTAGACTCAAGAGAACCATTGCAGGTTTTGAGTAGAGGAAGGAGGGAGAGTATTAGCAGACTCATTGTGTGCATTATATCATTTAATTTTCATAATAATCCTGTCAGGAATCGGAGCCAAAGTAAGCAAACTGGTCCCGGTCCACAGCTTGAAAACGGCAGTTCTGAATTTGAACATAAGATCTGTTTGGCTGCTTCCTTACAAGGAGTATGTAAACAGACTTGGTATTGTTTTATTTTTTAACTTTTTATTATAGAAAATTTCTTACACAAAATAAGATAGAATATTATATTGAACCTCCATGTGCCCATCACCCAGGGTCAACAACTTTCAACACAGAGCTAAGTGGTATTAGCTATAACCACAGGCACTCCCCCTCCCACCATGGTTTTGAAGTAAATCCCAGACATTAAGCATGTATCTGTACAAGATGTTACCATATGTCTCTTTTTTTTTAAAGATATAACCACAATTTATTTTCTTTTTTAAAAAACAGTTTAGTATATTTGAATCAGGACCCAAACAACAGGGATCATGCATTGTATTTTTTTTTTTTTTCCATGCATTGTTTTGTTCGATATGTCTCTTAGGTCTCTTGTGGTCTGTAGATTGTACCCACCCTCCCCTTTATTTTCTCTTGTAATTTATTTGGTAAGGGAAGTAGATTGTTTGTCCTCTAGAATTCCTAACACTTCTGGCTTTTGCTGACTGGTGTTTTTTACTGTGTTCTTCTAGCCCAGAGGTTCTCAAACGTTTTATACCTAGAGCTTTTATTTATGTGGATCATATCTGGTAGTATTTGCCATATTAGAAATTAAGACAGAAACTTAAAAAAATTATATTTGCTTATTTTAAGTAAATTAATAAGCCCATTGTATGATAATATAAATAAAATATTTTAATAAAAAATAACTGTGTTTTCCAAAACCAAAAATATTAATGAGAAGAGTGGCTTCGTTTCACAACTTTTCAAATGTCTTTAACGTTGGACTTAATAGCAGAAGTTGGATTCTCATATCACATTCAGTCTGTTGTGTATCACACATGACATAGCCTCTGGAAAAAAACTCTCTTGTACATTTATGAGAGAGTGACAGTGAAAAGGGCAAATAACATCTTAGTATTATTCTAAAAATTGTTTTGACTTCCTAACCATGGCCTTGGGATTCCTTTACACTTTTATTACTGAGGATGACGCAGAGCTTCTGTTTTTTGTAGGTTATAACTATCAATATTACTGTTTGAGAATTTAAAACTAAGACTCCTTTTAACATTTTCTTATTAATTTAATTAAAAATAACAAAAATACACACATTAATGTCGACAAAAATAACAGTTTTATGAAAAAGATAACTCTGTTTTCCAAAACAAAAATATTAGTAAGAAGAGTAGTATTGTTTTATCTGACTTAATTGATAGCTGGGCTCTTATCTGCCAGCCTCAGGCTCTGTCCTCTTGACACCTCAATTTGCGAGGCAGGCTTCAGCCTTCTGCTGTCAGAGCTGCATGCTGTTGGAGAATTCATTTATTTAAAAAGGTAGCAAAATCACAGAACTCATTGGTGCACCTCTGTTTTTCAAGAATGCATTGCACTTCTGTTCTCTGCATTTTGTTGGTCCCCCTGCAGTCCTGCAGTTGAATAGTTCAGTTGTCAACCAGAGATTTGGGTAGATTTTATACTCAGATTTTGGGTTTTATCCCTTCTGTGGTTCTCTTTCTTCCAGAGTTTCTACCTTAAATGTCCAGCTTTTCTTCCAGCCCTGAACTCCTTTCTGTGTCCACTCAAGGTGGTAAAGTTGCGATTTTTCATCACTGCTTTCCTGAACCATAGCCATGGAGCTGGGAAGCACTTTTAGGCGAGGAAGCTGCAAACTTGCAGTTTTTACCCCCTCTGGTTGCAGTTTCATGAAGATAAGTTTTGGCTGAGTTTTGACTACTTTTGAATACTTTCCAGTATCTTAAAATGGTCACTTAAAATAATTTGTCCAGGTTTTATAATTGCCATCTTTAGGAGAGCTTACATACTTTTAGTCTGGTGTTACTGTATCACTTTGTACTAACAGAGATAAAATTAGTGTTTATGTATATAGATGACCAGAGATCAATGGAGTACCAGTAATAGCAAAGATAAATTACTAACCTATCGTTCTGGCCATTTATTCTCAGACCTCTTTCCTCTGATCGTTCCTGCCCATGCCTTAGTTCTCTGCCCTTAGCCCTTCATCTCTCTTGACATGTTCTTTCTGGTTTAACTATCTATTTCCTTGGCTTCAGATACCAGTTACACACTGACAAATTCCAAATCCATGTCTGTATCCCAGATCTTTCTTGTGAGCTCCAGGCCCACGTCCAGCTGTCTACTAGAACTTTTTTCTATTAGTTATCTGTTTAAGCACTGTAAACTCAATATATCCAAAATTCTTCTCTCCCATCAAATTTATTCTTTCTCCTTTGTGTATTATCTTACTCCCAGTTGTCTAGACCAGAAATCTTTCTCATTAACCCTTCAGATTTTGTAGTTATCAAGACCTGTCTATTCTCCAGCCTCCCCCAGCCCCAAACCAAACCCTCAAATCCATTTATTTCTCTATCCACTGCCATTGCATTAGGTGCACCCCTTCCTCTTATCTTGCCCAGTCTTCACACTGCAGCTCTGATCATCTTTGGTAATTGCCAGTCTGCTGATTTAAGCCAGAATCATCTTCCACAGCCTTGCCTTTCTTCTCCTTTCAGGCCCCACTGAACTACGCTGCACTTCCCTGACCTCTTCACCATGCTCTCTTGCCTCCTGGCCTTCCCGCATGTTTCTCCTCTTCCCCATGTCCCCCTCCCCAGCTTACAATTGAATTTCCCAGGGACCGGTTATATTCCTATATACTCTCCCATGGCATCTCAAACTGTTCTTTTTATAGCTTTATTGATCTCTGCTGCACTTATCAGGATACCCTTCAGGGCAGACAGTTTTGGTTCACCTCTTTGGGTCTTCTCTGCTTAAGGAGTGCTAGTGAGAGAATGACCTCCCTGCTGCCCTCCTTTATTGGGCACCAGGCCTATCACTAGGCACATAATAGATGCTCAGTAAATATTTGATGATCCAGTGAATGGCTCTACTCCTAAATGTTGGTTGATGATGTTCATGTGATGTAGGCCTTCTGCAGCACAGAGCTGTGGAAAATGGGATAAGCGGAGTCTGCTGATATTCACTGGCTCTTGAATCTGCCTGGAATAGCTCTTCCTATTGAGTTGGGGGAGATGATGATAACAGCCACTCACCTGCCAAACTGCTGAAATGGTTCTTCTTTAATCCTATGTGAGAATGATTTTAGTTCTTATCTCAAATGTCACAGCCTCCCACTGTTCTTACCAAGTTTCTATAGATTTTGTTAAATGCTTCTCAGTTTGTTGTAAGCCCTTTGATCTGTGCCAGGGACTTTAAATAATTGTGCTCATTTGGACCAGTTTAACAGATGTCTCTCTGGGATAAAGGTTTCTCTGACTTCCTCACACCACCATTCTGGAAGTCCTGCCTGTTGTCATTTGTTTTGAAACCAGAGTTATTATTTGATGCCAACTTTCATCCCCGTATTTATTTTATTATTTTATTTATTTTTAAATTTTTTTTTGTGGTACGCGGGCCTCTCACTGTTGTGGCCTCTCCCGCTGCGGAGCACAGGCTCCAGACACGCAGGCTCAGCAGCCATGGCTCACGGGCCCAGCCGCTCCGCAGCATGTGGGATCCTCCCGGACCGGGGCACGAACCCGTGTCCCCTGCATCGGCAGGTGGACTCTCAACCACTGCGCCACCAGGGAAGCCCTATTTTATTTTTTTTAATGCATTTTAAGCCACAACGCACATGTTTTAAAAATGCCTTAATAAAACCTTCCCTTTACAATAAACATTATTTTAGGAACCTTGATACTTTCTTTTCCTTAATGCTTTAAACTAGATTTGCTAATGGTCGTTCTACTGGGCTTATCTTGGACAGTGGAGCCACTCATACCACTGCAATTCCAGTTCACGATGGCTATGTCCTTCAGCAAGGTAACTATTTAACCAGGGTGCACAGAGGACACAGATCATGAAATAAAGCAATGACTTGGACTATCAAAGTATATCAGTTTCCCAGTCATGTCTTTAAGTGTTTTTTTTTTTAATCTTTAGTATATAGTGTATATTTAAAACTGATGCATGGCTTCATTCATGCCTGGAGGGATAGTTCCATTAATTCTGCTTGAAAACAATTAATCATGTATAAATACACAGAGGAAATTTGTCCCAGGGAGTTTGGATGGAATGCTTTCTTAGCCTTGTTTAATCTGTTTCATAGGCATTGTAAAATCCCCTCTTGCTGGAGACTTTATTACTATGCAGTGCAGAGAACTCTTCCAAGAAATGAATATAGAACTGATTCCTCCATATATGATTGCATCAAAAGTAAGTGATGAATGAATTTTATTTCTGGGATTTACCTCCAACTCCCCACCCCCATGTTGTGAACTCTGTTAACCTAGCACTTGCTCTTGGCACTCAGGAAGCTGTTCGTGAAGGATCTCCAGCAAACTGGAAAAGAAAAGAGAAGTTGCCACAGGTTACAAGGTCTTGGCACAATTACATGTGTAACGTAAGTAACCCTTATTCTCTTTACGAAAGCATTATAGGCTGTAAGTCTTCGACTAGAGTATGAGCACTTTATATTTTCAAACTTATACTTTTAATGGTATTTTACAAACAAAATTAATAGCTTTTGGCGGAGTAGGGGAGTGCTTTTCATGCTTGTCAGATATCTCAACAAACTATATTCACTTGGATTACTGTGGTGAGACCTGAAAGGACCTTTGGGATAAAAACAAGCATTATGCTATTCTGTACATTTTTTGACTAAGAAAATGGTTTTAGTATATAGAGGCCTGCTGGTATGGCTCAGTTACGTTCTCTTTCCTAATATGAGTCAGCTATGTAAAAAAATGTGTTACTGTTCACAGCAGGGAGCCAACAAAAGGCTTTCTTTACTGAAAATCCATCTCTGAACATGACTTACTGACAGGGGAGAGGTTAGTAAAACAACCTCTCACACCACAATATACATTCATTTTTAACAGTAAAAGGATATGAAAGTCATCATTTACTATGGCAGGGATATATCCTATTTGACAGTTTCTTACACCTAAGGATAAAGATTTTTTGTGGGTGTTTGGTACAAGGAAAAATTGTGAAGATGATTAATAATTGCGCCTAGACCTTAGACAGGATTTTTCTTTAGCAGCTCAGAGGTCCTATGTATTTCACTGCAAATTTTTTAACTGTTTTATACTATGTCAGTCATTAAAAATTCCATAAGATACAATATATATGCATTTTATATATATTCAGCTAATGAAATCTTGCTTCTAAGCTTATTTTAAAGGGGAAAACAGTAAATTAACTCTACGCCAATAAAAATTTTAAAGAAAAAAATTTTTTAAATGGGAAAACAGTGTTCTAAAACCAATTTTGTTATGTAGGACTGGGGTACAAGGGTTCCCACTTGTTTTTATCTCATCATTTTTCCATAATGGTTGTAATTTAAATGTTATATAATTTAACTTATAATGCGAGTGTTTAGAATTGGGTTTCTTGATGCTCAGAGTCCTTACTGGGTAGATTTATACCCTTGAAATGAGTTAGCCATCCAGGAATGTGGTACAGTTTCATTAAGAAAAGTGTTTTTAAAATAATGTTACAAAAGTATAGACTGCAAAGACAAATCTCAATAATTTTGTTTCTTATCCTTTTTTTAAAATCCATAGTGTGTTATCCAGGATTTTCAAGCCTCAGTACTTCAAGTATCAGATTCAACTTACGATGAACAGTATGTTTTCTTATTTTTTCTACAAGACTTAAAACTTAATAGCTTATTAAAACCTTCATACTAATCTTTAAAAAAATACTGTATACTTAATATATAACTGAATCACTTTGCTGTACACCAGAAACTAACAAAACATTGTAAATCAACTGTACTTCAATTTAAAAAAAACTGTAGGGACTTCCCTGGTGGCGCAGTGGTTAAGAATCTGCCTGCCAATGCAGGGGACACAGGTTTGAGCCCTGGTCCGGAAAGATCCCACATGCCATGGAGCAACTAAGCCTGTGCACCCTAGAGCCCGTGCTCTGCAACAAGAGAAGCCACTGCAATGAGAAGCCCGCGCACCGCAACGAAGACCCAACTCAGCCAAAAATAAATAAAAATTTTAAAAAAAAAATTTTTTTTTTAAACTGTGTACTTCATAAATGAGGAAAGAAATTGATTTGTTTAGTTTAAAAGATTGTAGAATATGCTTAACTGGTCTAAAGGTAAAAAGTTAAGAAATACTGAATAACATTTTAAAAGAAAATAAGATATTATCACCCTGCTTTCTTATAAGTTGATGATTCCTTAGTAGTTTATAATTCTGAAGAGGATTGGTTTTGTCTTTTGTTTAATATTGTTTGATATGTTTTCAGAGTAGCCGCACAGATGCCGACTGTTCATTATGAATTCCCCAATGGCTACAACTGTGATTTTGGAGCAGAACGGTTAAAGATTCCTGAAGGATTATTTGACCCTTCCAATGTAAAGGTATAAAATCTTATTTTTATAATTAGCCTGGTTTTTCCTTTAAAGATCTCTTGTAATTACAAAACCTAAATAAGACTGACTAAACTTTTTTGGATGTGCTTTATTGTTTGAAGGTCTTCTGTGTGACTACTCATTTCTATTTTGTTATAGGGGTTATCAGGAAATACAATGCTGGGCGTCAGTCATGTTGTCACTACAAGTGTTGGAATGTGCGATATTGATATCAGACCAGTAAGTGCCAGTCTCATTTATGGCATAAAGGTATCTTTTAGGGCAATCTAGTGCCCCGTTATTTATAATGGCCATCATTATTTAAGTTGGCAACTTTGGCCATTGACTTTGAAGTCCATTTTATAAAAATATGTAAAAAAATGAAGTTCTACTAGAAAAGGAAAAATGCAAAACTCTAGAGCTGTGTCCAGTGTGGTAGCTTTTGGCCACATGTGGCAATTCAGTTAAAATAAACAGAAATTTAAATTTCAGTTCTTCGGTTGCACTAGCCACATTATAAATGTAGCTAGTCGCTGCTCTATGACAGTGCAGATGTAGAACACTTCCATCATCACAGAAAGTTCTTTTGGACACTGCTGTTCTAGAGATTTCCTAAAACGTGACATACCAAGATATAGATTATTGGTGATTTTTAATGTACCTAGTACAGTTTTACTTTTTATTTTTCAGGAAGGTGTGGTTTAGGGTTTAAATTATGTAACTTTTACATGGAGTTTAGATATAAACTTCATATTTTTTGTGCTTTTCCAAGCTGTTTGTTTCATCAGTTTATTTCTTGCCAAGTTTTAAGGACTAACTCCATATTCCATACCACACTAATTAGTAGATAGATTATATCTTATTTAAACGCTAGATTTAATTTGTAGCCAACGTATTGCCTTGATTTTCTTTGAGTTAATGCATTTGCTTAGAGCATAGTGCTAATAGCTAAGGGTCTATAAAAAATCATGTTGTTCAAAAAAGACTTCCGGGTAGTTATGAAAAATGTTCTTTATTTCAACTAATTACCTGCCAGGGATGTGCTGCTTCTAGGATAATGGGGTTGTAAGTATGCAATTTTTTAGTGTAAACTCAAGGGGAAGGCAGTTGATTTGAAGTACATTTACTGTAAGACATTGCTAACTTTGTTTTTTATTGAGTTTTCTCCTTTAAACTATTGTTGACTGCAAAGGAGGAGATGCTTCTATATTCCATTTTCTCTTTCAAAAGTTAGATGATTTAGACATTTGGAATAAATTTTTAAAATATGAATTTAGCCACTAAAAAAGCAGGCTGACATTTAACTTTCTGATGCATACATGCAGATTAGAGGTAAATATACTCCTTATTACTGAGAATTTATTTTTGGCGGGGGAGGCCTCAGCACGTGGATTTTGAAAAAGTTCGTCTCTGCAGAAGAGAAAGGTAGCAGTCATTTTGGCCAGGACTATTGTCAGAGTATGCATTATCCACCATAATCATTAAACCTTGTCTAATTTTAAACATCGTAACTTCTAGATGTGCATTCTGAGATGATGTAATTATGAAATATACCTCTAATGAAATACTGGCAGCTATCTGCCAGAAAATTATGATTGGATTGTAGAAGAATTGCTTTAAGATAGTGATTCTTAAATTTTAATGCACAGTAGAATCATCTGGAGAGTTTTCTTTTTTTATAAATTTATTTATTTATTTATTTTTGGCTGCGTTGGGTCTTTGTTGCTGCGCGTGGGCTTTCTCTCGTTGCAGAGAGCAGGGGGTTACTCTTTGTTACGGTGCGCAGGCTTCTCGTTGTGGAGCACAGGCATACGGGCTGCAGTAGTTGTGGCGCATGGGTTTAGTTGCTCCGCAGCATGTGGAATCTTCCCAGACCAGGGCTCGAACCCATGTCCCCTGCATTGGCAGGTGGATTCTTAACCCTGTGCCACCAAGGAAGCCCTCATCTGGAGAGTTTTAAATAAACCAACAGAAACTTTTCCTGGACCCCATCCCCAGAGATTTTTATTTAATTGCCCCCAGGTATTGGTGTTTTAAAAGCTCCCTAATGAGTTGAATATGCAGCCAGGATTGAGAACCACTAGATTAAACTAGTAGGTCTATGTAGAAGTAAAAAATTAAAAAAGGGAAAATTGTACTGGAAGACATGGTTTTTATTTGTAGTTGTATTTAAAACTGTTGGAAACATTTGGAACTAATTTATTTTTGTTTTCATCCCAGGGTCTCTATGGCAGCGTTATAGTGGCAGGAGGAAACACGCTAATTCAGAGCTTTACTGACAGGTTGAATAGAGAACTCTCTCAGAAAACACCCCCGGTAAGTTTTGTTTGTTCTTTAGTGGTATTTTTCAGTCATATGTATCCTCACTGCTGGTGGAACTTTATATAGTTTGTTTTTCAGTAGGTTGATGGTATTTTGTGTCTGCCTGGTATGGTATTACTTAACGTTAATACCCCTTATTAATCAAATTTTTCTAGATGACATCTATTAGTTACTCTTGTACTGTTTGAATCTCACTTTATTCATTGATTCCATACTTAAGTACCTATAGTCTGTTAGGCACTAAGGATAGAAAATATAGTCCCTTCCCACCAAGGGCTTAGTCAGTTAGGAGGAGTAGACATGCAGAAAATAAAAACTGTAACGTGCTAAGTGGTTCAGTATGTCATCAACCAGGCACTCTTAAGAACACTGAGGGGAAAGCACTTAACTCCCTAGGAGTGTCAGAGGAAAGCCTCATTAAGAAGCTGTTTGAATGAATAGGAGTTCAGCTGGTTGGCAGTTTATGAAAGGACATCTAGGTAGAGGGAATACCATGTGCAGAATATGAAGGGAAGATGGCATATTCCAATATTTTGAAGTAGTTGGCTTATAGTCTGTGTAGAAGTGGGGAGAGCTATATGGCTGGAAAGATGAGCATGATGGTATATTATGTCCTAGGGCTGCTGTAACAAAGTACCACAAACTGGATGGCTTAAAACAACAGAAATTTATTACCTCTCAGTTCTGGAAGCTAGAAGTCTGAAATCAACATGTCATTAGGGCCATGCTCTCTGAAACGTACAGAAGAGAATTTTTCCTTCCCTCTTTCTAGCATCGCATGATTTGCCAGCAATCCTTGGCGTTTCTTGGGTTGCAGTTATAGTACTTCAGTGTCTATCCTCGTTGTCATGTGGCATTCTCCCTTTGTGGGTATGTCCTCTTAAATGAACTCTAGTTGTAATGGATTAAGGGTCCACCCTACATCTGCAGAGACTCTATTTCTAAATTAGGTCACATTCACAGGGACTAGGGATTATCAACATACCTCTTTGGAGGATACAGTTCAACCCACAGAGATAGGTACCAGGTCATGTCACTTATTAATAGCAAACTTACAAGATAAAATTTGGCAGAGGACTGAAGAGCTTTTATGTTTTAAAAACATCCCTTGGTGCACTGTGATAACTTTCAAAAGGATAGAAGAACCTGGTTTAGGGAGAAGGTAGTTTACGTGGTACATTAGTAACAGAGTAGTAGTCATAGTCTTTAGATTTTTAAACTTCCATCAAGTAGTTTTTTGTAAGGTATCCTGCAATAAATATTACATTTTAAAAAACTTTATTAGAGATTACATAGGCCCTAACGGAATCTATAGAATTTGTGTACTTGATAGCCTTTGGTTTCTCATATAAAGGACTGTTTTACATATGCCACATTTTTATATTTGTTATGTAAGTATTGATATAGGCACAAGATTGATACCTCCTTACATTCTTGGAGATATAGACTGACCTGGCATCTACCTTAATTATAGTACTAATCATTAGATTTCATAAAAGTCCCAGAATAATGAATATAGACTTGGGCTGTCCAAGGTCTGGTCAAGACCAGTTAGATACTATCCTTGTCTTTTAGGAGGCAATTAAAATTTAATGAAATCCATTGTAATAGATATCAACCAGTTCCTCACCTACAAAACCCTGTATTCATCCCTCCTGCTCTCAGCACCCCTCCCTCCCATTCCACATACTCCACCCCTGCTACATACACAGTTATTTCACTGTGAAAAAGACTCAAACTGTATGTTCATATATAGAATAATTGGTAAGTATCAACAGTTTGAGAACTCCCCAGAAGCAAATTCCTAGGTAGGGGGGAAATCTCTCCCCTACAGGAAGTGAGATAGGGATAGTGCTGAGCCATAAAACCATGTTTATTGAGAGTGTTCCAGCAGAACAGAAACACTAACTTGAAAGAAAGCAGTGTGAATAAACTTTCCTGAGATCTTATGTCTGTGTTTTGATTTGGATGGGGGCAGGGAGGAATAGGGAGGGTTGAACTAAGATATGAGGGATGAACTAATTGAGGAGGGATTTTGAAGGCCTAAAAAAGTAAGTTAGAAAGTTGAGCACTACAGAAAGGGCAGCAGGTTGGGATAATAATTATACTTGGTGTTGGACAAAATGAAATAATATATGAAGCACTTAGCACAGTACCTGATTTATAGTGTTAAGTACTTATTTTGCTGTTTTAGGATTAAATTCTGAATGCCATGCTGTCTAGTATGCAGTTTTGTAAGGTTTATATAATTTATTCTCTTATTCAACTACACATTACAAGACATAATCAAAGTACTTTAAAATCCTATACAGTAGTCCAACCTATGCCTACTATTAATCTGGCTACTACAAAATAATCATGTGTAATTAGTGCTTGAACCAGAGCCACTAAAAGGTCATAACTTGAATTTCCTAAGTTGAGTCACTTGTTCTATTTGATCCTACTAATACTTATTCCCTTTCTATTTTAGAGTATGCGGTTGAAACTGATCGCAAATAATACAACAGTGGAACGGAGGTTTAGTTCATGGATCGGTGGCTCCATTCTGGCTTCTTTGGTTAGTAGATAAACTACTTTGCAAAATAGTTGAAGATTCTTATTTAACTTAAATGTATCACTGAAAATACTAAATTTAGTAGAAAGACTAAAAATCCCCATGGATCATTTATCTTTGCAGTTTTTAGCTATCAAATTAGTAGAGGACCTGATACCAGTTTTACATGTTCCAAAATGACAAAATGCCTCAATGCCTTATTAGTGGGTATTGTCAGCCTAATTACAGTTTCCCCTCTCACACAGAGGCGGGCATCTGTTAACTTATCCTCGCCTCTTTTAATAATACTCCCATTGGCTCTGGTCAGGACTTACCTGCAGCACATTTAAAATTAAATCATTCCGGGCTTCCCTGGTGGCGCAGTGGTTGAGAGTCTGCCTGCCGATGCAGGGGACATGGGTTTGTGCCCCAGCCCGGGAAGATCCCACATGCCATGGAGTGGCTAGGCCTGTGAGCCACGGCCGCTGGGCCTGCGCGTCCCGAGCCTGTGCTCCGCAACGGGAGAGGCCACAACAGTGAGAGGCCCGCGTACCGCAAAAAAAAAAAAAAAATTAAATCATTCCTTCTTGGGTTCTGGTTGCTCCCTGGCCTGTTGGTGAGGTAGAGTAAGTCAGGAATTGGTTCTTAGGGCAAATGGTGAAGTCATGGTGTTGGGGTTTGCATGCTGCTTGGACTGGTGCCTACTGTGAATCAGGAGGAAGTCCTTGTACTTATCTGCACCCTAAATTTGGAGGATTTCCCCTTCACCTCAGAGCAGCCAAAGTAAATGTCACTAAGTACTTATGCTAAACATTTTAAAAAGCTATTAACTATTAAATGTAACTGTCCATTTATATATTTCTGGTCTATGTTCTGTTTCTAGTCTTTTAATGATCTTAGTTCAAAACTGGATACAATATATGAATCCACTTGAATAATCATAGGGAACGGATTTCTTCTCCTTACACATCTTAGTAGTAATGTAGTCCACGTTCCTTCCTCCTTTAGTCATTTTCCTCCTTTGACCTTCTGTTTATTTTGCATAGTGCGTGTGTACTGTCGTTTGTGTACTTGTAAAACTTTATCCTAGTTTGAGTTCTAAACGTTACCATTAATCAAATGCTAGAACATTTCATCAATGCTGTACTAGGATCAAGCCTTCCAACAATTTCTGTTTTTGCCTTAATCAGTCCATCATAGCTAAACTCTTCATCTTCCTTTCCCAGCATTTTCTAAATCCTCATGACAGTATAGAAAGATTTAATATTCTATATAAACTTGGGCAAGACTAAATAGTGTCTTTGCGTGTTCTGGAGGAGGGCAGAAAAAAGAAGGGTGTAATTTTTTTTTTTAATTTATTTATTTATGGCCGTGTTGGGTCTTCATTTCTGTGCGAGGGCTTTCTCTAGTTGTGGCAAGTGGGGGCCACTCTTCATCACGGTGTGTGGGCCTCTCGCTATCGCAGCCTCTCTTGTTGTGGAGCACAGGCTCCAGACTCGCAGGCTCAGTAATTGTGGCTCACGGGCCTAGTTGCTCCACGGCATGTGGGATCTTCCCAGACCAAGGCTCGAACCCGTGTCCCCTGCATTGGCAGGCAGATTCTCAACCACTGCGCCACCAGGGAAGCCCAGAAGGGTGTAATTTGAGTACTATTTGGGGAGGGGTTTAAGAGTTCTTCAAAAATTAGGAGTTGTGATAATGAAGATATTAAAAGAAAAAATTTTCTAATAGAAAGGTACATATGTAATTTTTTCTTTCCATTTCACAGGGCACCTTTCAGCAGATGTGGATTTCCAAACAAGAATATGAAGAAGGAGGGAAGCAGTGTGTAGAAAGGAAATGCCCTTGAGAAGAGTTCCCAAATGACTACCTTCTTTGTCACCTTACGTTTCATAGCTTTAGTATACTCAGGAAAAGAACAACCATCTTTTGTAGAATGTTTATACATTTTTGCATATTTCAATTTCCACTTAAATTTTTTAAGGCTTTAACTGGCTCTGTAAATTAAAATAAGTTTGTGCTTTCCTTGAAATGCACTTATTCTTATTACAAGCATTTTATAATTTTGTAAAAATGTCTATTTTCTCTAAATATTTTGCTTTCAGTAAAATGCTTTCCAACTCTGTTTATGGTAGAATTGCTTTTTATTGACTAGTAAAACTTACTGCCTATGTTTTTTACCTTAGGCTTTTAAAATTAAATAAAAATTACTAGCCACTCCAGAAATACTTTTTATTTGGACTGCTGTGTTGTAACTTGCCACTTTAAGTACTAAATGTATTTATCATTATTTTGAATGGAAGTACTCACTGTTTATTAACAGTAGAATCCATAGCCCCTTCATATCTAGTAACAATAGTAGTAAAAAGGTTACCTGAATTCCAAAATTACCTTATTGCCTTTGCTATAGCAGTTATATCACTTTCCCACTCTAAGATACAGGCGATTAAAAGTCTGCTTAGATGTCAGAATTTATAAAATGGGAATTTAATCTGAACTTTATACCTGATTTTGACCACTTCCAGATTTAGCATGCCATAATAACACTTAAAACAGTCGACAGTCATTTGACTAAAAACACAAGTTATTTATAAACCACTTAATATGTATTTACTTTTGTATACAGATTGTAATCCAAGAAAAACAAAGTGGTAAATTAAGAGTTCAGATATCTTAGACAAGACTTGACTTCTGGGCTTCAGAAAGATGTGGAAACTTTTCCTGAAGAAACTTTTCTTTCTTGCTTGCTAAACTTCTCTTCCTTGCTTTGATGCGGGCTTGTTTCTCAGTTCTCAATCTAGGTAAATAAAAGCATAACAGCAATTTATACAAAACTATTTCCCTGTTACTCGGTACTGTCAATATATGTCCAAATCAATCACTTAAAGACCTCAATCATGCCTGTCTCTGTATCAGGTGTGTAATGTATATTATTAAACTTGAATAATCATTGTAAACCTACACAAGTCAAAGATAAACATGAAATCAAAAGCATCTGTAACGCTACACCAATTCTCCTTCCTATTTCCTGACTGGAAAGAAAGAACAGACCTGTGAGCCTCTAACAGACTGGACTTTCTCCTTTATTTTTAGAAATAATGTAGTTTTATTGAATACATTAGATATTTTACATCCTGAGATACGTCCTGAGGTGTTTAGGAATTCCCTAATTTCAAATAGCACTCAGTCTAACATCATTTCCCCACAACTGAGAGAATAAAGCCATGCTAAGAGATGATGCTTAGTGCTAGCTGGACTAGCCACTCTGGGTTTGCCTCTACCTATCAGCATCCCAGGGCATTAGGCCTTTGTGCCTCAGCTAAATTATGTTGACTTATAAGGTCACTTTGGAATTATCAAAATTGCAAATGATAAATTCATGGATGCCTAGCCTCTACTGTACTTAAATTGAAATATAACAATACAGTTAAGAGACAGGTACTGGGACTTTCCTGGTGGTGCAGTGATTAAGAATCAACCTGCCAATGCGGGGGACACGGGTTCGAACCCTGGTCCAGGAAGATCCCACATGCCGCGGAGCAACGAAGCCCATGTGCCACAACTACTGAGCCTGTGTTCTAGAGCCTGCGAGCCACAACTACTGAAGCCCATGCACCTAGAGCCCATGCTTCGCAACAAGAGAAGCCACCGCAATAGGAAGCCTGTGCACCGCAACGAAGAAGAGTAGCTAGCCCCTGCTTGCTGCAGCTAGAGAAAGCCTGCACGCAGCAATGAAGACCCAATGTAGCCAAAAATAAATAAATTTATTAAAAAAAGAATTCTATATTCAGCAAAACTCATTCCAGAGTGAAGGTGAAATACAGGCCTTTATATTAAAAAAAAAAAGGTACTGAATAACTACAATATGCCAGTGCTATGGGGGAGGTCACAGAAATTTGAGATAAGGGTTATATTTGGATAGAGATAAAAATACATATACAAAACATAAGCTACTTTATAAATTAAGTATAAAGTAAGACTAAACAAAGTTGAAAGCAGATTACGCATTCTATTCATCAGTCTTTGCTCCAACTAAATTTTGGCCATTTAAAAAAATAAACCCATGTTAAAGGTTTGCTATTCTTAAGAATATTCAGAAGATTATGCTGCATGTTCTGAAGGTAAGGCTAAAGGTAGTTTCAAAAACAATATATTTAAGGCCTGTAAAAGTGACACTGCATTCATAATTCTCATACATTAAAGTCACGTTATTTACAGCTTCACCTATTACGGCTAAGGGACAAAAGGATCAAATTGCACATTAGGTTTGGAGACAGCGAGGAGGAAAATCCAGTACAGTTAATTTCTTCAATTGCTTATTTCATTTCACCAAGCCCTGCAATAACATGAGCTCACATTCTATGCAGCGAAGTATTTGGACCTTCCTTTTAACAATAAAGATTTAATCATTACTTACACAGAACAGACTGATGAATAGAAAGACAACAAAACTTTTCAAAGGATATACATTAAAATGTTAACAGCAGCTATTTCTGGATGGTGAAATTACATAAGGCTAATTTCTTTTTTTACCTGATTTTTCTAGTTTTTTGACAATGAACATGTATTATTTATATAAAAGCTTAACACACGTCATCTGATGTAACGATACATTTTAGTACTAACGGTACTTGTGCTCACCTGACAAAACGTTCCACATAGGGCATTGCAAAGAATCGTTTTCTATTGTATCTTTTATTTAGGTACCAAGGTATAGGCCACTGCTTGAACTTGTGCCTGCCAAGAAAACAAAAAAGTATCACCCAACAGAAAACATTTAATACATTTTCACTTTTTTACAGAGTTTTAGCCTTCTTTGAACTAAATATGTTTTCAATAAAAAGAGATGTAATTGGCTTTTAAAAGATTTAAAAATTTTTATAGCTTAAATATAAGACACTTATGAATCCACTGCAAAATTGCAGATGTTAATATTTTGCAATGTTTGCTTCAGATCACTCTTTTAAAAAAAATATATATATATATATAAAAGTTTAAAGACACAGCTTAAGTTCTCTACTTTCACAATAGCTTCTAGCCATAAACTGGAGTGTATCATTACCAGATATATTTTGTACTTTTACTACATATATATGTGTGTACTAATTTTATATATGTACACATACATATGTATACACACACATATAATTTGAAACACTGATATTTACGTGTATATGTTTTGTTTTTAAAATGTAAGTAAATTGCACCAACTGATATAGATATCTATCTATATCTACCTCAACATAACAAAACCTAAAAAATCATAATGCTGAGTAGGAAAAAAGGAAATTGTGAATTCACTGTAACATTTATTTGAAAATATTTCAATTAAAAAAGTAACGGAAGGATTAATTTCAGGGCATATAACCAATCTTCTCTAAAAA